ACGACAACAGAACAGTTTTACTACCATTATTCATATCTATTGTCAGCGAGTAAATAATCATTTTCACCATTTAAGAAATATTAATTCATATTTCCCATTAAGACTCCTTAGATTATCCAAAATAATCAATCATCAAAATCTATGATTTTATTAGACTGCATCACTAGGTACTGTTGACGCACTAATTTTTCACTGGGTTTTAATTTCGCTGATAAGTAAAATCTGCTAAATTATATCTACATGAACATGTAAAATAACAATAAAACTCATTGTTTCCTTGACAAATTTGTGAAATTAACATCAAAATAATGAAATTTAAAGTCAGTGAAAATAAATGGTTTTACAGTACACATAAAGGATCTTTACAATTTGACTTATTTTCACCCTTTGGCTACTCAAATTTGTGCAAGCACTACCGGTAATAATAGAGCATGTCAGAATAATAGTGGAGAAATACAACAGCAGACAAAACCACAGGTTTAAATTTAATCCCATGACAGCCACTACCGGTAATGTTAGCACTTCACAATCACGGTCTCAAGTCCTGATTATCGGAAGCGGCTTACCATACCCCATCTTCATAGTAAAAATTACTTGAGTGTTTATTTTAAACAAGTCATTGAAAATGACACAGTCCACGTTAAGTTCTCTTTGTGCTCGTCATATTAAAGCGGAGGGGTTGTCGCGAGTGTGTCCTTGAAACTTGAGTTCCAAGTGGCGTATACAACAGATTGTTTATTTACACCAAAACACGTGTTTCTTGTCATAGTAATATGGCCAAAATAAAAACAGCCGTTATTCAGCCATCTTGGATCTGATTATGAAGCACACTGATATGTATGATGTATGTGCCAAATACGAATGAAAATGGTACATAAATTGTGGAAATATAGTAGTAAGGCCAAAAAGTCAGATGGCTGTCAATCGGCCATCCTTGACCAGATTTTGAAACAAATTGTCATGGACATGCATCCTAACATGTATAAAGTACATGTATGTGCCAAATTTGAATGAAAACTGACAGAGCACGTCCAAGATACCTGCCAGTCAACCATCTTTGATCCAATTGCAAAATAAATCATCACGGACATGTATCCCTAACATGTATAATCTATGTACCAAGTTTGAATGACAACTGACAAAGCATGTCCAAAATACAACATTTTCAAAAAACAAGATGGCTGCCAGTCGGCCATTTTGAATCAAATCACTAAACCACTGCATGTGCATATGTCCCACATAAGATACTAGGCACATGCAAAGAATGAACGGAATCGGTCCACAGGATTCTGAAATGACTCTGGACAGACTGACGCACAAACGGACGGACACACGAACGGATGGACGGACAGACTCAAGAACTCACGGATGATCGGGGACATGTATCCTAACATGTATGATCTATGTACTAAATTTGAATGAAAACTGACAAAGCATGTCCAAAATACAACATTTTCAAAAAACAAGATGGCTGCCAGTCGACCATCTTTGATCCAATTGTGAAATAAATCGTCATGGACATGTATCCTAACATGTATAATCTATGTACCAAGTTTGAATGACAACTGACAAAGCATGTCCAAAATACAACATTTTCAAAAAACAAGATGGCTGCCAGTCGGCCATTTTGAATCGAGTCGCTAAACCACTGCATGTGCATATGTCCCACATAAAGTACTAGGCACATGGAAAGAATGAACGGAATCAGTCCAAGGGATTCTGAGATATGACTCCGGACAGACGCAGACCGAATTATAAGTCCCCGTTTTCGGACTTCGTCTGAACGGGGACTAATAATATAATAATAATAATTGTTTATTGCATCTTTAGAAATATACATTTCTTTCAGTATATAGCAATAGGAATATTAATCAATACAGAAAAATAAAATAAAATATAACAAGTTAGTAAGAATTTTGAAAAGTAAATAAAATATAATAAGTTCAAATCACATACAACACATTGTTGAATGTTCGCGTCACTGTACGTAAAAACACACTCTTGAACTTGACAATTTTGAAGTTCAGACCATTAAGCAAACAGATGGAAATACCAGTTGCATAAATCATGAAGATTGATCATACGATTGCTGACCGAGATAGCTGCATTTAGTGTTCTTTTCTATGCAAT